TGGGAAGGCAGATAAGACACCTGAATGAAGCTTGACTAGTTTAGTAAATCACGCTATGGGTTAATGTACAGCAATATTACTATTCCGGATTTCCACGGATGATATTGATGCCATGGTCAAATAAATGTACGATTTTGTATATGAGGCAGGGCAAACATCCTTAGCTTCACTGTATCATCGGGTGACTCCGCAGTGCTAAGAAGGGCAGCCAGATTGGCCGGCAACCCACGTCGACCACCCTGTAGGGAATTAGTATTTTCCCAGAAATCGATCAAGCGCAGCACGCTCTAAATCACTGAAAACGTGCACTGTCGCACGCTGTGTCCCTGAAACGATGAGAAGAAATGGCAGGACGAAGTAGTCAAATAAAAAAATATATGGTTTGCTTGACTGATACTTGAATGCAAGTGAGCATTGACAAATGAGGAGGTAGCTAGGCAATATGGCTAATAGTCCCGTGGAAAATAGCAGAATCGGAGATCTCTTAACCAGCTGTGGGATTGTGCAAGTATATCGGTTGTGTTTGTGAACGCCTTTCTGGAGGTGCCGTGCTAGCCCGCGGCGAGGGTTTGGTTTCATCGGCCGTGTCCGGCCATGTAATTTGCGTGGCATCTTCATCCTCAAGTCCAGGTGCAAGTATTTCGTGGCGACTTGGGACTGGTGGGCGGGGAAAGTAATTCAGTCCGCGATCTTGCAGCCGATTTGGTTGGGATGTGTGGGCCGGCTCCGTGGGACCAACGGTCCACACGCTCTCTTATGCCAGTCGAGGAAGGGGTAGCGGGCAAATGATGATTTGCTGTTGGGAGAAAATGAATATCGTCTATAACGACGTCTAACTGGCGATGTTCTTTTGTGGGGCCGAAAATACGACCCGTAAAGAAAAGCATGGGGGTTTATGCCCAGTGGTGGGAATTGCACCCAACGCGGACCATTTTTGAAGTATACGGTGATGGGTAAGGCGTGATGGGTTCCAGTTGAATGTTGTAAAGTGTGGTCTGGAGATGGTAGCGAAGAAGAGTGGGCCCGCCGTTCAGTTGACCACCGCGTTCAATAACAACACCGAGGAATATCACTATTGGCTGGGCAGCCTCGGGACAGTGCATGAAATACGACTCGGTATGTTGTTCATCGCCCCGATGACTAGATTGTGTAAGGTTAGTTCTATAGCAGACGGGACAAATTGACTGATTTAGATTGTGAGCGTGAAGGACAATATGAAACTCCTCATCATTGGGGACGAGGTGGTCAGGAATGCACCTGAAGAATAAATAAAGCTTTTGCCTTATAAGGGTCAGAATGATTACCCTCATTAGAAACTCTGACCAGGGTGGGGATTTCACCCTGTTCAAAATCGTCTGATTGAACGCCTTTCCACGGTATGTTGAGTGAAATACGGAACTGCATGGAAAGGCCTTTACCGGGGCATGTAGGATCCTGTTTCGACCCGAATAATTTGATGAGGTTAGCCAATCTTAGTTCCACACTTGGCAGGAGTTGAAGCAGCGGTCCTGGGTCATATGGGATGACAATGAAATGACCTCGCAGCGTCCAGTGGCTAATTGAGGACAGGCGGCCGCCTGGACGTAACTTCACAATGAGACCCGGCGGGTGACATCCTGCGCTGGCATTCTCTTCAGTCAGGGCGAGGACCTCCTGCGCAGATGGGTAATTCTGGCAGAGAGTAACATTGACCAACATTTTCGCGGGGGACTTGGGGATGGTCGACCGAGGGCTCTGTGACAGGAAGAGCACAGGGTCTGTGATCCTTCGCGTCATGGGGCTCCCGTGATTGAAGAATTATTTGCCTGATGCTGGTGCTGTCTAGTCGCAGAATCGGCGAAGAGTGGGGTGTCCCACCAGGGTGAAAAATATTGGGAGTAGAAAAGCCCTGACAGCCATCAGCAACCTCCATCGAAAAGAGCCTTTCCGTCACGGTAGCGAGCCGGCGATAATTCTGTTTCCATTGGCGACAGCGATCACATGTTTTGTACCGGGGAGACTGCCAGGGTCGGGCGCAATTCGAGCAGAGTGTACGTTGTATAGGTGAGGGCAAAGTTGTGGACGGTGGCAGAGATTGTACATTAGAAAGGGACTTCGGTACCTCACCAGTACCTGTAGCAAGCGAACGACGACGGAGTCTTTGTCGGTGTGCCTTTTGGCGGCAGGCAGGACACGTTTTATATAAAGGCGATTGCGTAGGTCGTCGCGAGCAGCTAGAGCACAGCACGGTATGCACAGGAGGGGTATCCATAAGAGTGGTACGGATAGTTATTAAAGTACCACGAAATAGTATCAGGTAGGTAGGACACTTTGCACATGTGGATGAGGCTGGAGATTGAAGAATCTTCCTGTTTGATAGGGTCGGTAGAAATTGACACGAAACGAGAAAACCCTTTGAGAATAGTCCAATAACGAAGATAGAAGAGAGGGGAAAGCACTGATATATATTACAAGCCAGGCAGGGGAAACGCAATTCAAGGGAAAAAAACAGACGAATAGCTAGAGTGGACCAAGAGCAATAAACAACGAGGCAATAAGGAACGGAAGAGATAGTAGGGCGACAGAACCAGGATGAACCCGGTAAGGAAGAATAGTGAGCCAGTTTGTGATGTACCGAACGTCACAAATCTGGGAGATTACAGAGATTTGCGGCGTCTGTTCGCAACAACAGCCCAGAACATCATTCGAAGGAGCTTCATATGGCAATCTAGTTGCTCAGGTTAAAGCTTACGTTGGAATTCATTACATTCGTTCACCATGCATCCACCATGCTATAACAATACTCCACTTCTTGCGTCCTCCTTGTGCAGATATGAGACCTTGTTAATCAAACGGAAAGACCGATATGTCCATATTGATCTAATTTCGCTCAATAGTCGAGCTACCTTTATCCCTCTCCCGTAACGGCGTTGTCGAGAGTGTGAAGCTTTTTACGCCGCTTTCTACGTGATCGATAAGTCAGGGTCGTTCCACTAGCGGGGACACGCGGCGGTTTATTGTGTCCATCTTTGCTTCCGTTCACAGCGTAGTAACATTGTGATATGCCAGTTAGCCTTTTTCCAGATACCGATGGTGTATACATTCTCTACCGAAATATCCACCTGTTCCTGGCTGTCAAGCGTGTGACTGAACTGGAACTGCTGGTGCTTTTAGTGTTCGAAATGTTCCGCGCAACCACCGAATTGGTGAATTCCGTCACTCCGCAATATGGTTCGCAGTTAGGCTCTTCACGGGTGGCACGAGAAGAAGTGGACTGAAAGCCCCTAGTTTCGGTCAGGTTTCTATGACGCAGTCCAATCCTAGGCTCAGGCAAGTTGCGTTGGCGACCTGGGCGGTAAGCGTAGTTAACGTCAGCCGAACACAGCCATGACCGCGCGATAATCCATACTTTAGAGCGTTCAATATTGATTTAGACAAAAGCTTTGGGGTTTTAAACAATGTTATGGGCTCAAACAATGTTTCTTTTATCAACTATTTCAACGATTTTCCAAAGGAAGCAAGTCTATAAGGATAATCTTTATGTTGAAAGTAAAAGCTAAACTGCAGAAATTCTGTGCCACCGTTTTCTTGCTTAAACATTTCCCTCGAGTCGCCAACGCCAGCTCCCCAAACAATCAAGTTTCGGACTTTGGCCAGAAATCTAGCTGGGAATGGCCCAGAAGACAGGTCGTACTTTAGAGAACCCCGAGTGGTCAAATTATGGGGTAAACCAACAAAGTAGCTTCGTCGATCCGCTGTCTATATAGTCGGCATTACACTTAGTACTCTCAGCGCTCCGAGGACGGCCCAGATCCCCTCAATTATCAAGATATCCCACACGAATCAAGCATGCAATGGCTTCTTGGTACTAAATTGTGGATAAATGCTAGGTATGGCGAGTGATATATAATTTATCTGGATACTTATCCAATACCGAGGCAGGACCAAGAGACCTCGATGCTTGTTTACTCCCACTACCGATACCGACGAAGTAAGTGCTGTGGAACGCCCCGGGGGGTATGGCAAGGAGACTTCCTGGGAGCGCACCATGTCAAGCCCAACCTCAGCTTGGCTCACTTCGGTGCGAATATTGCCATGGCCGTCGATCCCCGTCATACCACAGAAAGCATGTGAGCAACCCAGTTGCACACCCGCCAAAAGGCATCTGCTCGCGAAAGCGAACCGGTTGTGCTGCTACAAAGAGAGTGCTGCAGACCTCTTATGTTTTACCTGAGGTTCATGAACTTCCAGCGTGATAATTACATATTTGATGCCCGAGAAATTTGCGAGGTTCAATCGGGGATCTGAGCCAGGGGGTGCAATCTGTGAGGGCAATCAAAATGCCGTCGAGTGATCATGGTTTGCCTCTATGACTGCGGGGACGGAAGGATATCTCGTCAGCCTGTCAGATAGTTAAGTTAGGTTGAGAGGGGACCGGATGACTGATCCACATTGCGTATTTGAGTTCCTCTGAGCGCGAGGAGACCTCTTTGTTACGGTTCCTCCCGCTACGTTTTGTATCGAGAAGCAACTCTTTAACTATTGTTGCTCTCTTGATATTGATCGTTCATCTCGAAATGCTATATACATTTACGTATATGTGAGATCCTCACTTCCTTCGTCTTTCTAAGATCTCCGTAATTTGATTCTTTGCATTCGAATGACCCAATTAGCCCGTTTCAGGGATGGAAGGCTTGGTAGCGAAGTCAGTATGAAAGAAGCTCCTGCGGGCACAGTTTGTATAGTCGCTTTTCTGAACACCCCGTTTTTTTTTCCAAAGTTAGGAATTGAACAAGCAAGCATGTATAAGATTGGGCTGTGCTTGTTCAATTATAGGGAAAATATTTTCTTCTCTCGTCAATCTTTTCGGATGTCGACATCTGCATCCCAGTCATGAGTCAAGCTATTCCTTTTCAAAACATAGTGGTAGGTGTACTTGGTGGTACATGTACAGTACCACACAAGGGACGACTTACGATATCCCATTTTTATTGACAGCAGCGACGAAGATACCGACAGTGATGAAGAGACCGTCATTCTCGGACCCGCAATCGCTGAATATTGGCTATGCATCTGGAATGAGCAATCATGATCCCGAAGTCGCGGCTGTTCGGCCCTTTGTCCCTTTCATTGATCTCACTATCTCGACTGACCCTTCGCCCTCACAACCTTTGAGCAATCCAGTCTATGCTCTCACAAGTATCATCGAGATCAAGGATCTGGGCTTTTTTGAGGCTTTGCGGACGCAAGCAGTTATGGTAGCCCTCGAAAAGAAAGACGGATCGGATCGATATGTCAAGATTCGCTCCTCATTTCCAGACCCCAAATGTCTCGATATGGAGTGTGTCATTTGCTACGATGAAAGGCCAGATAAATTACTTCATCTGAAATGTACAATAGAGTACATTGCGCTGCCCTTTTCAGGACCCAACAATCCCAGCGGAAAGAAGATTCCTCGCCACGAGAAGACAAGTTAGTCGGGCAATCACACGGCCTCAACAATCGGGACAGCGCGGGTCGGAACGCATAACACGTTATACTGGTACCTATCCGCCTTAAGCTCCTTAATTTGCCTGGAGCAGAGATACAGTAAACAGAGAAAACCTTAATATTTCGAAAGAGCTGGCTGTATTCATGGGGCTATGCTCTTGCCATCACCTAAAAACTTTGCGCGGCTCGAGAAGCTGCGTACTGTATCAAGAAAATTCATATATGAAAAATGTAAATACATTACAAAGAGAAAATATTCAATTAGTACATAATTCACAGAGGTTTGTGCCATGAGCATGAACCTGGATCAGGTAGAACGGGTTCGACCGCCATCTGGGTAATCCTCTGTCGATAGCGCACAAAATTTCCACAGAAGGAAGCATGTCTGATAGTGTATATTCTCTTGACATATTACTACTCTCTACGGTACCCCTGAGCTATTCTGTCGTGGACGAAGAGTTGGTTATTGCTCTTACTGGAGTGAGCACTTATACCAGGAGCGCTTACTTCTCGGCGCAGCTTATCGGGGCTGTCAATGCGACCTTTTGAGAGCGTCACATTTCCCTGACCGGATGTCGCACTCAGCAGACGATGTGGACGTTCCGGATAATCCTCCGTAATGTAGTCAGCGCTGTCAGCTATACTATTATCCTCTACCCATTCATGACAAGGTTCGAGGTCGAGATTGATTAGTTGGAGGCTTTCACTGGCGAGTGGCTGTACTGCTTTCCTGACCCTGTCGCGTATCCTGAAGCCTGCACACACTGCGCAGCATATGTTACTATGATCTTCGAATGGCAAATGGGTGGTAGAATAAATGGAAGAAAGACATACCAATTACAGCCATTCTCCCGCAGTGATCTCTGATATAGGATTTGATCTCCATCCCAACATCCATTTTGCGATGGAAAACATGAGAACGTTTGCCTATGATAGACTGAAAGTCTAGCAGAGCAACCGAGCCAGTTCTGGGCAAATAAGTATGGAATTGAAGGATCTAGTGTTGGTTAACCTCTTCCCATTAGAGTAGTTGCATGCCGAGGACTCACGCCAAATCCCTTACAGTCGACATATTTCAGGTCTTCTTTCCCAAGATTATCTCCTCGATTGTCAAGATCCAGAATACGTTGCATCCACAGGCTGAGCCATGATGGATAATATGTAGTACGTATTAGCTAAATGGGCTGGGGACCCGTTAATATACCAAGCATACCATATCTGCTGTCTTCGACCTCCCAAAGAACCTCGACTTTGCGTATCATCGCTTTGCGATCGCGACTGGCCTGAACCAGCATCTCAATATAGGAAAGGATTCGATAGAATCCAATGTCTTCTACAACAAAAATGATCGTTCCGAACGTGTTCAGGTTGTGGTAGTGTCCATAAGGGCCGAAGACGATGACTGGTTGCTTTGTAACTTGATGCAACTTTTCACGTTGGATATTCCCGCGGGCATCCCTGACGTGCCTCTGCTTCACGCCCTCATAGAGTCTCAAAGTCAGCCCAGGCTGAGGTCGGGCGACCATGTGTAATGTACGCCCAGTGGCGCTTTCTTCCCAGAATGCGACGAATAAAGAGATGAACTGCAGACGGGCGCGGAAACCCGCACGTGGAAAATGCAGCTGCACATATTGGCCCGGATAGATCATACGGTGCCTGGGTAACACTACATCCAGCCATAGGAGTTGATTGAAAGCGCTCAGCTCTACTTCATGTCTGAAGCTTCTCCACGGCCTATGCGCAAATAAAGTCGTCATACAGTCCACCAAACTGGAAAGGAGCCAGAGGCACACCCCGCCCAAAAGATACCAGCGATACATTGACTGCCGCTCGATAAGATGATAGGCTAGGGCGCTCATGGTGGCCGCCGCCAGGATGTAGTGGCATTTCATAGCAAACTGCATGTGATGCCGCAGTAGCCTTGCGTGCGTCAGTGGTACTATGAGAACAAGACAGCATCCCGCCTACATTGCGTTAGCCGTGGACGGTATATTGTGTCTGGGCGCCGCGCTTACTGCTAGGGGGATTATATGGCCTGCAGTAGCAAGGGCGGAAGCCTTCACAATGGGGACAAGGACTGATCCGTGCAGCAGCGAGTGCAGTACACATAGCCGGCCAATCCACCGATGACACCATGCCAGTACCTGACGATCGAGATGAAGTATGTCGGCTGGTAGGCCAAAGGTTAGCCCAGTACAAAGAGGGATAAGGTGAATGATAGCCAAGGCGCCAGCCCTTCTTTGCGCTTCACTCCAGGAATCTATGCGAAGCGTCAAACCAATAACATTTGCAGTGAACAGAATGGCTATCGCAACGCCTCGGTGATATGTGGATATATCTAACCATCTCAATCCCGTTGGCAGGTAAATGAAGTAAAACTGCCTCCACGAGCCTGGCAGCCGAGAGACAACCCATCTTCGAGAAACGACGCGGCGTAACCTTGCTACCCAGAAGACCGCGCTTCTTCCAAACCAGTAGATCAGCCAGATCGCAATGAGGACGGAGACACTGATAGCATATAAATCAGGGACTGTGAATCTTTTCGCCCATCGATAAATACTACTTGCAACTGAAGGCATCGTGAATGGCATTCAGAAAGCCAGATGGCATGTTTCTTGATATAAATTTGGCCTGGCAGTTAAACCTCCCCGGGTAATACCGTCTTTTTCTTTTTCTTCTTTTTTTTTTTTTTTTTTTTTTTTGCGGTATCAACCGCCACTGGAGTGGTGCAATTGATCCTAACATCGCCCCTCATTTATTTTTTATTGAATCAACGATATCAAACCTTCGATGGGAAGCTCAGAGCCTTTGTTCCTGCATTGAACGATTTTCTTCCGATAATCTACCGCGTCTCATCCAGCAGCTCATTTTCTAATTGTACCAAGCTCGATTAGATCGTTGGCGAGCCTCGGGCTTTTAATCTCGCCAGTACAAGCGCCCCGTGAGCGCCTGCAATGGGTCGTGCCCGATGGCCTCTCGATGCCAACACTTGTTCTGTATTAAATATTACGTATTGTATCGAAAAATCACATATTGTATCGAAAAATCTTCCAAGCCTAGAGTACTATTGAGAGTTATAGCCTGTTCGAGAGACAGTAGTGGTACATCCTCCTTGCCGGAGTTGCGGCATTGATGTGCTGATCAATGATGCCAATGTCTGAGCATATACCGTAGCTTGTGTGTTTGGTCGCCGATCAGAAATTGTGCACTTGGTCAGTACAACCTAGCCTTCACGGCCCGACACATGGAATAGCCAGTCTCTTCTCGTATGCTCATGCCAAATCCGAGGGCTCCTGGGAGGATGCAATTTCTCCTGGGAGTGGGTATTGCCTTCCTTGGGAGCAAGCGTTTGGTTCCCAGGATCATGTGAATGGTTTTCAGGAACGCTCGGTGAGGTTCCCGGGAGAAAGTCGGATCCTGGGAGAGCACGGCAGTCTCCTAGAACTACTATCTGGTGTCCTGGAAACAACGCAGTTGCATCCTGGGGCTATGTAGTGGCATCCTGGAGCTGTCAAACTTCTACGTGACTACGTTGAGACCATAGACGTTCTAAGCTCGAGAAACAGAACCATATCAGAGCGTCCTCGCCATCACTGTTGGCACTCCGCTGCGATTTCGTATAGTCTCTCTCTTCGCTAGAATTACGGGGTTCATGCTCATACTGTATCTCCAGTTCCTCGTCTCTACTTATACAGTACACTACCCATTAGGCCGTATCTGGCACTTTGCAGATCTAGCCAGGGAGCATGCTGTGATCATGACTTCAGTTGGCTCGTACGAGTAGCACCCACCAACCGCGTGTTGATATAATATGGTGTATTCTGAGATACTACCAATACTACCAATCGAAGACTATGCACACGAGGCTTACGTAAAGCTATACATAAATGGCATAGTCAATTGACAAACATATGTATTCTCAGGTCATTTTACGCTGGCCAGGAGTTCATAGTCATCGGTTGCTTATATGGTAGTAAGGAGTCCTTAATCTAAAGCAAATGAAAACCAAAACTATCCAATCACTGACTACCTAGAGGTACCCCTTCCCACGAAACCGACGTGGCCGCTTCAGCACAGCGATCCCAGTCTTTCAGGACGCCAACGATCCCTTCTCGGACTTGCTCAAGGGCGTGTTCGAAAAGGGACAAACGCGCAATCTGATTGTTCTGTCGCTGCTTCAGGGACTCCCTTTCCCGCAACAGCTGAATATTAGTGATACGCAGCTGGTTGTTATCCGTTGCAAGTTGTTGGCCGTCATGGTGCTTGGCAATGCATGATTCCCACAGGCGCCGATAGAGCCCCACAAGACGTGCAGCTTGAATAGCCAGCTTCGGGTCTTCTTGCTCCATTCGCTCTAGGGATTCAATGACAGGCTGAAAAGCCTCTGCCGCCAGGGCGCGCTTCTCGCCCTCGACCCCCGAGGGTGTGAATGACTAAATTGTTCAGTGGGTTTCTCTGTAGTCGTATGCCGCAACTTACAAGATGAGCGCCTTCGCACGGCGAGCTTGCTGTCGCTCCATTTTCATCCGGATTTGGCTGTGCGCAGAGAGGCGCTTGCGTTTCGTGTGTCTCTAGAGACTTGTCAGAGGTGTCCATGGTCGGTGCTTGAATGCGTGACCTGAATCTATATCTCGAAGGACGATGGTCCCTTTATAAATTCATGCAATGTATGGATCCGTACCTTGAAGCAGCAAGAATTTTGATTCCGTTGGTTGCGCATTGCGCCTCACTTTTTGTCGTGATACCAGCACAGCACTGTGTGTTAAAGCCATCTTGGAAGGCGTTCGGGTCATTGAATTTGCACACCTGATATGTACAAGGAAAGGTCATCATGCTACACCAACGAAGGTTCGAACTTTGTTAGATCGGCCATCATTAAATGACAGGGTCAGCGTATCACCCTCTCTGAGCCACCGACTAAGCTTTAGTATTCCGGGGTTACAAAAGGAGTTCAATCGTGAACCTCAGGTTTGATCTCAAGTGATCA